AAATAAATAAATAAAATCTTTAAAAAAAAAAATTAAAAAAATTTAAAAATTAAAAAAAAAAAATATGAAGTTTTTGATACTAAAAGATATTTTTATCTTCCAGCTTGATGAAATATTCCTAGAGGAACTTAACATGAAGTGGATGGCCAGCTGGGAAAAAGGGAGTATTTGAAGTACGTGTGTCTTTGTGGGATCCTTAATGTCAAGGAGGAAAATGTTGTTGTTTGTGTCCTTGTATGAAGTTTATTTTGTAAATGTTTCACGGACACTTGGGAGTTTTTTTTTCTGTTGATGGGCTCTGACCTAATCAATTAAATTACTTTCTAACTCCACTGTAATTTTCACTTCAAAAATGTGATTAGAGAAATTAAAAACATTTTTTCCCAAACCAGCCAGTTGGGTAAATTTCATGAACATTATAGAATATTTTCAGTTTACGTTTTCTAAGTGTTTTAAACATTCTATGTACCTTTAAAAGATGCTTGAACTGCCTGATAGAGTTATCAATTTCAATAACTGCAGTTAAATGGGTTTTAAAAAAGAATAGAGAGATAACATTAATTTATTTATATTGACTAAATCTTTATAGATTACCTGACTATATTCAAAATATATACTATGTGACCAATAAGATCCACAGATTGAGAAGCTAGGTAAGTTTATATTTTTTGTACACTACAGTGATATCTTAAATTTTATTTTTTCTTAACTCTTACCACAACAAAGAAAGAAAATGAAGTCTTTTTGAAAGACTACAAACGGACTGGTCATTACAATCCAGGAAAAATATACTCCTTCGTTTGGAACTATAAACAAATATATAAAACAGCCAAAAATTGCCATCCTCACAAGCACCTTCAGGCTGTTATGAGGATCAAAAGGTAGCCAAAGATGTGTTGTTTTCTGGTAACTACTATACCAACAGGAAGTAGAATGACAGTTACACTACCAGTAGGAAGACTTTCATTTCAAAAACCACCTTAAACACTAAATTTTAAAATGAGTGAAACTTGGTTTTTCAATAATGGCATTAAAGTCACAGAAGTTAAGTAAGCAAATACATGGAGAAAAATAATAGTTGTCAAGTTATAGGTTCATAACTCTTAACATGGCAGAAAAATAGAAATTAGGACTGAATTGGCTAAAATTATTGGGTGTACAGCCAAGATTTCAGGGAAGAAATGCAAACTTCCAGTTATAATACTGTGTTTAACCTCTGGGTGAGTTACATGACCTCCCTATAGGCCTGTGTTCTCATTCCTGTCACAGGATAGTGATACCTTTATATGGGAAACAAAGAAAAATAATAATACCTAATGCTCACTGAATGTTGACTAGGGACTGGCAAAATACTTAAAGCATTTTACATATACTAACTCATTCAGTCCTCGTAAAGGCCTTTTGAGGTATGTAATTGTATCTCCATTTGATGAGAAGACGAAGGCAAAGCAAGGTTAATTTACTTGCCTGTGGGGCGCCTGGGTGGCTCAGTTGGTTAAGCGACTGCTTTCGGCTCAGGTCATGATCCTGGAGTCCCTGGATCGAGTCCCTGGATCGAGTCCCGCATCGGGCTCCCTGCTCGGCGGGGAGTCTGCTTCTCCCTCTGACCCTCCCCCCTCTCGTGTGCTCTCTCTCTCTCATTCTCTCTGTCTCAAATAAATAAATAAAATCTTTAAAAAAAATAATAAATTGCTGCTGCCTTATAAAGAGTCCCTGGATCGAGTCCCGCATCGGGCTCCCTGCTCGGCGGGGAGTCTGCTTCTCCCTCTGACCCTCCCCCCTCTCGTGTGCTCTATCTCTCTCATTCTCTCTGTCTCAAATAAATAAATAAAAAAAAAAATTTTTAAAAAAAAAAACAATTTACTTGCCTGTGGTTCTTTTGTTAGAAAAGATAGGGAATTTGAATACAGGCCATCCATCTTTCGAGCCTGCTGTGTCTGTGTGTGTGTGTTTGAAACTATACATAACATAAAATTTACCATTTTAACTATTTTTAAGCATGCACATTAGTGGTATTAAGTACGTTCACAATATTGTGCAGCCATTAGCACCATCCATTTCCCTAACTTATTTGTCATCCTGAAGAGAAACTCTACACCTTTTAGATAATAAATCCTCCTTCCTCCTCTCTAGCCCCGTAACTTGTCTTTTGAATTACTACTGACTTCTTTTTGAGTAAATAAAATAAAAGTGAATCTCTTTAATAAAGAAGAGGCACAAAAACTGAGAAAGACACAAACAAAGCACCAAAAATCACCAAAAAGTATATCACCAAAAATCCTTTATTTTTTTTTTTATTAGATCTTTTTTTTTTTTTTTTAAAGATTTTATTTATTTATTTGACAGAGAAAGACACAGCGAGAGAGGGAACACAAGCAGGGGGAGTGGGAGAGGGAGAAGCAGGCTTCCTGCGGAGCAGGGAGCCCGATGCGGGACTCGATCCTGGGACTCTAGGATCATGCCCTGAGCCGAAGGCAGTCGCTCAACCAACTGAGCCACCCAGGCGCCCACCAAAAATCCTTTATATTGGAAAGTCTAAAGGACGTATTTTAGGCAGAATGAAAATAATCCCAGAGGAGGGGCGTCTGGGTGACTCAGTCGTTAAGCGTCTGCCTTCAGCTCAGGTCATGATCCCAGGGTCCTGGGATCGAGCCCCACATCGGGCTCCCTGCTCAGCAGGAAGCCTGCTTCTCCCTCTCCCACTCCCCCGCTTGTGTTCCTCTCTCGCTGTGTCTCTCTCTGTCAAATAAATAAATAAAATCTTTAAAAAAAAAGAAAATAATCCAGAGGGAAGATGTGAGTGCAAGAAGAGGGAACTATAAGTAAAGATACTGTTAAATTTGTGATTAAATCTAAGTAAATATTGAATGTATAAAATAATAATAAAATATTTAATTTCTGGCATTAAAAATGTTGAAATAAAGTATCAGCCAACAGCACTATATAAGTTGGAAAGGAGATATGATCAGAATTAAAGCATTCTAAGATTCTTTTTTTTTCAAGATTTTATTTATGTATTTGACAGAGAGAGATATAGTGAGAGCAGGAACACAAGCAGGGGGAGTGGGAGAGGGAGAAGCAGACTTCCCGCCAAGCAGGGAGCCTGATGTGGGGCTCGATCCCAGGACCCTGGGATCATGACCTGAGCCGAAGGCAGATGCTTAACAACTGAGCCACCCAGGCGCCCCTCTAAGATTCTTTTTATTTTTTTATTTTTCAAGGGGAAAGTAAATATTTTGACAATTCTAAACTTTTTAAATAAGCAAGTTAAAATAAATAGAATAACTTCTAGAAGAATAGGTGCAAAAAGCATAACCTACTAAATAAGTTGAGAAGAAAAAAGTAAAATGATAAAAAAAAGACTAAATTCAGTCTAAAAGAAGACAAGAAAGACAAAACAAACACAAAACAAAAGCAAAAAATGGTTGATACAGTTATAGTGGAATTTAGAGCTTAATATATACCATGAAGTATTTACATTAGAAAAGTAAAAACACCAACATTAGTGAGTTCAGCTCAAACATTTAGAAAAAGAAGAGAAAAACAAATACAAAGGAAGTAGAAGGCAAGGAATGTCAAAGATAAAAACATAACTTAATGAAAATTTTTAAAAAAACAATGAAAAGACTCAACAAAGCCAAAAGTTGAAAAGGTTTGAGAAAATTAATAATACATAAAAACCTGTGCCTTGATTAATCAAAAGACACAATATAAAAAAGATACTTGTATGAAAAGGGGACATAACTATAAATGCTGCAGAAATTAAACACATAACAATGAGTTATTACTAGCAAAATTAATATCAAATGTTTTGAAAATGTAGACAAATAGATGAATTCCTAAAAACTGGAAATGTCAAAATTGATGCAAGAAGTAAGTAAAAAGTTGAATAGCCTTAACCATTAAAGAAATTAAATCAATAGTTAAAAATCTTTCCCCAAAGAGAACATCAGGCCCAAATGGCTTTATTGCAGATAATTCTCATTGTGCATAAGCTTTCAGAGAATAGAAGAAATTGTTCTCTATAGTACCTTTTATGGAATTCTCAAACTGTGATGTCAAGGAAAACCAGGAAAAAATTACTCACCAATATCACTGATGAGCGTAAATTCAGAAAATTGAGCACAGCATGGTTTAAAAGAAATAATACATCATAAACCAGCTGGAATTACTCCAAAAACATCGGAGCAAATTAATAGCAGAAAAATTGTTACTATTATTCACTATACTAATAGAATAAAAAGAGGAAAATTAAGTTATCACCTCAATGAATACATAAAGGGGATTTGATAAAATACAGAATCTTTTTTTTTTTTTTTTTTGAGAGAGAGAGAGAGAGAGCACCCAAGCAGGGGGAGAGGTGCAGAGGGAGAGAGAGAGAGAAAGAATCTTAAGTAGGCTCCATGCTCAGGGCAGAGCCTGACATGGGGCTCCAACTCACCACCCTGAGATCGTGACCTGAGCCAAAAAAAAAAAAAGTTGGACGCCCAACTGACCGAGCCACCCAGGTGCCCCCAAATTCAGTATCTTTCATGAGAAATGCAGACAAACAAGAAAATGGTCAGAGAGAGGAACTTCCTTAACCTGAAAAAGGATACCTACAAAAAGAAAATTAAAACAAACACTTACTGGCAAAATGTTGAAAGAATTCTCTTTAAGATAAAGCAACTTTATGACAAAGATAACCATTTCCATTACCTCTATTACCAAAAAAAGTAAAATAAAATAAAATGTCATCCATACCTTACATGAGACACAGAAATCAATTTTAGAAGGATTAAACACTAAAATGTGTTAGTTTTTGAAGCAGTATGGGATCATATCTTTATGACTTCAGAGTTGGGAAGGAGTTCTTAACACCCTGAAAGCTCAAAATCTAAAAAAAAATTGATAAACTCAACTTCATGATAATTTCAAACTTATGTTCATTAAAAGATATTATAAAAGCAATAAAGTAAGAGCCAAAAAGTAGGAAATCATTTGTTGTATATATAACTGACAAAGGATTTGTGTCCGTAATATGTGAAGATCTACATATCAATATGAAAAAGAAAATCCAACCAAAACATGGACAGAGAGACCTCTTCTGAAGTTTCACACTCAGTTTTCAAAGAGATCACACTCTATTATGAACCACAATGTCATCCTAGTCCCTTAAAATCTAAATAAAATGGATTTGAACTCCCAGCCCATGGATTATGGAAATGCAAAACCTTCCCAAATCTATCCAAATTCCTGAGAATGGATTAGGTGGGGGTGTGCCTTAAAATTCTCACAATCTCTTCTGATAGGATTTTCTGACTCAAGTTAATTTTTTTTTCTGTGCTCTGTCTCATTGCTCTCTTTAGATGTTGGTCCTGGTGTTATCTCAAACATGGAACAAAGGTGCCTCTTCTAATCCTTCTCTCAAAAGCAGCAACAAGGTCAAGGCTGTTAGCGATGGCAAAATTTGACTGGAGTTTTGGGAGCCTCATGGAGCCGTTTTCAGCCACGTCCCCAACTGACTGTAACTGGCAGATTCATCCCTGGTAGGTCCCCAGCCTCTAGCCTGTCTGGCTTCTCTGAGTCCACATGTCACCACCGCCAGCACCTTTTCTGCTCCTTCCCGCTCTTCACCACCACATCACAGCAGCCCAATAATTCCTTCTTTACTGTCACTCCTGCCAATACCCTTATCCCCACGGTCACACCTGCCCTTGAGAATATTGCAGAAACAAGAGCAGTGCTTCCCTAAAAGGAATTCTGGAGCCAACTGTTCAGATAACATATTTTCACCCTGTTGTATTTAAAAGAAAGAAACGGGACATGTGCCAGGATCTGCAGTAAGTAATGATCCTTGTAAAAATATCCCATACTTTGAGATTTTTGAGAACACTCACAATCTGTTAGAAATTGATTTGCAAAGTGAGCTATATTAGACCATACCTCCACATGCTTCTAACCTTTTGACTATATTCTGGCAAGTTATGATTTGTCCAGACATTTCTTTTTTGAGTGTTTAATGTTCTGTCTATTCCTGGGGCGCCTGGGTGGCTCAGTCGTTAAGCGTCTGCCTTCAGCTCAGGTAATGATCCCAAGGTCCTGGGATTGAGCCCCGATTGGGCTCCCTGCTCCGTGTGAAGCCTGTTTCTCCCTCTCCCACTCGCCCTGCTTGTGTTCCCTCTCTCACTGTGTCTCTCTCAAGTAAATAAAATCATTAAAAAAAATATTCTATCTATTCCTTCTGTATATTTCATCAGTCAATCTACCTTTCTATCTGCCATATAA